TGAACCCCCCTCCCCCCTCCTCCACCCCAACCACCCGCCCCACTTTCTCGCGCAATAATGTACGAGTGGTCCGGTATTCTTCAATCTTCCCACAAACAAAATTGTCATGCGGTCAGTACGAGTACCATACAACAAGAATTTGACTTGATCTATCATTAGGCTAGGCCTAGCCAACGATGAGGTTAGATATTATATCTAGATCTACGGCAAATAATACATTATAGGCCAATACGGTGACGCACTAACAAAGATAGGTCCAAGACTAATCAAAGTTATAACTGAGGCTGAGGGGTATGGCGTTGATTTATATATTCTTTTTTTTTTCTTCCAAAGTTGCGGCGTCTGTCGACTTTCAAGGATTTATTGATTGCCCGAATCTTGCGCCTGGACTCGATCACGGGCGCAAGGTGTCGACCTCGTTTTAAAAAATAGGTCAACGACTGTTTAGTCGATACCCGACCGACCAGGACAATAACAATAACAAAAGTCGTGGAAGAAGAGAGAAAGTGCAATCGCCTACAGCTGTGCTGTATGTCAGTGGACAGAAAGCAAGTTGTAAACAGCAGATTGAGCCCTGAGTCAGAAGACCAGCCTGTTGGGCAAAGCATACGAATCAGACGCTGTATGGACCGCAGGCTGACACACTCTAGGTGATCAGTCATCATTATGCCGAGGCTCAGTCGACCGTGTCAGACTTGATTTTCAACTTCAACCTGCTGGGGTCACAATGTAAGACTAGACGTCTATACTGCACTGTGCACTGTTTGGGGAATCAGCTTTTTCTGTCTTATGAGAGATCAGTAAGTCTGCAAATTCAGGCAGTGATTAGGCATTTTTAAAATTAGACCTTCAAGCTGGTGTGTTAATGAGGAGTAATGGATTTTTATTGAACTGTCAAATCAAGATTATAATAATTTTGTCTTCAGGGCGAGGCGAGGGTCGAAGGCTGAGTCATCAAGATCTAATGAATTTTCGATGAATTTTCCCTCCACTAGTGAGTGTAGTGCAAGGTATTGATTATAATAGCAGATCAGTGTCATGGTTCCCGCTTGTAGAGTTTGAAGTATCATGTTGGGAAACTTTTCTCTAGTATTTTAATAATTTTTGTGGCTATGGACCTGCCGTGTAGGTTTCATTTTTTAAAAACCAGTTTGTTGGGGAAGTAGTAGGCTATTACATGATATGTGATGCATCGTGGTGAAATCAGGTGCTCGTCAAAATAATAATGAAATCGAAAAAAAACTGGCATTTTTCTGTCCGTTTGGCAATTTTAATGTTTTTTTTACTCAAAACACCTTTAGAATGGTCCATTTAAAAAGACAATTTCTGTATGGATTTTTATTGTAATTGATTTAAGGCACCCAAATGTACTTTTGTAGTTTCTAAGGACTCTCAAGCTTTGGAAGTCACCAAACTTTGGCCGCCCTTTTCTTTCTAATTTTACCTCTGAAATCGACAACCTGCAACTCCTTCAATCACAAATCTTGACTTCCATTCATGATAGATGAGTATTTTTTTTTCAATGAAAGCAAGGCAAATGGGAAGGACTTCCGTAACGAGCGACCACCCCATCAAACACAATATAAAAGAGACCTAACCCTAACCCTAACCCTAACCTAACCCTAACCCTAACCCTAACCCAAACCCTAACCCTAACCCTAACCCTTTAGAACCCTAACCCTACCCCTACCCCTACCCCTGGATCTACCCCTACCCCTAGCCCTCAGTTCTGCTCTGTCTCATAGTGGTCGCTCATTACGGAAGTCCTCCCGGCAAATGAATAGAAGGCTTTGAGATGATACCAATAACCCCATATTACAAAAATTGACGAGTGCCTGATTGTACCCCGTTGTGCCAGGTATGCTGTAATAATAATACCTGTACAGATAAAAACTTTCTTCTGCTGTTCTAGTTGTTTTGGGGTTTTTTTGCTTCATCATTGACATCCTGACTGAAGTGTTTTGTCTCTGTCTTCCCATTTCTTGAATGAAATTTCAGGAAAAAATTCAAAGCCTTTAATTATTGTAGTGTCAAAAGTGAACCTTAAACTTTAAGTTAGTCAAACAACATAAAAACACTCTTATAAATAGTAGACCGGTCCCTATCCTATTTGTTTTTTTGTAGGAATTCTTATTTTCCAGGGAAAAGGTATATTACATATATATATAATATAAATTTTATGCAGGACTGTCAAGCATAAAGTGTAAGTGTTGTGTTGATCTCTTCTGTAGCCTAAAAGTAACAGTAACTTTTAACAACCCGGGGGGGCCACCAAGTCTGTTCATGCATCGCGTGCTGTTCCTAGGTGAGAGACAGAAGTGTTGTGACCCCACGAGCCCTCTGTGATTCTTGATGTTGCACACCAGGTAAAGTTTTAAGGGCGGGGGCTTTACTTTTACCATCTGTTTTGTATCATGTTTAGAAAGGCTCCAGTAGTTGAACATGGAAAATAGATGGATTTTGTTTTGCTTTCTATAGAATTCACATTTGTTGGGCACATAGATCAGAATGTTTTTTTAGAGACCTTTCAATTAAACTAGGGGCTGCTATCTAATTCCATTTTCATGTAGTGTCTTTTTTCAAGGTATTTTGTGTTAAACTATTTTGTTTTTTCTTGCACAAAATTTGGTGATTGCAATTGTACAGGATGGTGAACTCCGGAGTAAAAGTTAAAAAATCCCCAGTAATGTGCTCTTCTAAAGAAAGAAGTTTATGACACAAGAAGAGAATTCTTTGACTATTTAGTGCTCCTTCATTCATGCGAAACTTAATACTTCTTCACATCACATCTTTGGTGACTAAATTAAAAATTGTAAAGTCATTAAAAGCTAATTTAGTCTGTAATACAGTGCACATGATGCTATCAATGCCAGTGCTAACACGACAGCTCTTCTAAAAGTTCATTCACACCGTACATAATCCAGCCCAATCAACTGAGTTTTGGGCAAGCTTCTTGTCCAATTCCTTCTCTCGCCTCGCTCAAATTTTTGCCTCGACAAATGATTTTTTTTAGTTTTCTTGTCTCAAAATTTCCTTCTTGATGTGAAATGAATAACATCACATTGATCCTTTTGAGTTTCATGCAATGACACGTTGTTCTCTTGGAACATGATCTTTCTGAAAGTTGTCTGGGACAATGTGTCCTGTTTTGCTATGAAATTCATATTTTCTTTGGTACTCCCTATAAAAGGCTGCCAGACTTTGAAAATGGGATCCAAGGTGAATTTTGCCGGTATTCTGTCTACAGTAATGGGAAGGCATTTTGTTAAGTTTGTCAAAAAATTCCTTCTCAAGAAATTACATCTATATCTAGTCTCTCGTAATAATATGACAACTGTGAAGCTCCTGTCTCCTAGTCATTTAAACTTTCTTGCAGCAGTTATGAATAAAGTACTCTGTGAGGGCAGCTGCATTTCAAAAACAATGTTTTTGCATACAGGTAGAATATATTACATGAGATTCATTTTAAGTGAAAGTGTAGAGTGTGAAGCCTACTTGGGGTATCTGGCTCCAAGGCTGCTTAGTTACATGTTGTTGTTAGCGATCCAGTTTAGTTGCATGTAAATTTGGGGTGTGGGTGATTGATTTACTGAAGGATTAAAACACTTTTCAGTAATCTTTCAAACTCAGGACTTCAACATAATGTGTATCTTAGGCTGTGGGGTCAAAAACTGATTTTCTAAAATTTTTGTCTCTTTGGTGGTAGAATCAAGTGGCTATTGATAAATATAATACTATTGAACAGGGGCGAAGGCTGATTTGTTTGACAGGGTAATCAAAGTGAGATGGGACCAGATATGGCCTGGAGGTATCACACAAGAATCCTACTTGAGGCGCACACTGAGTTGTGAATGAAAACAAGTCTTTAATTCATGTTGTATGCATGTTCAACCGCTAAAATAATCGGGAAAGTATTTCATTAAATATTTATTCGAACAAACATTAAATTAATCTTTATATGTGAATACACGAACACAAAGCAAAGAAGCAGAGATGTCAGTACTACATGTAACACCAGTGAGTCTAAACTCTTTGGTAGAACATGACAATTATTAATTTTTTATTTCACATTTTGGCTCTTTTTGTCTAGTTTTTCGCGGCCAGGCACCGGTGTCATAATCAAGGTCAGAATCTGATTATAAGACGGTAAAAAGTCGAGAGTAAAAAAAAAACAAGCACTCGCAGCAGTCAAGATATTATTAGGAGTTAGTTCCCCTCACCTCTGTGAGGTAGACTTGACCAGTGTAATTAGCTTACATAAATCAGTGCTTGTGACTGCTTCTGTGGCCTGAAAGGGATGAACAGGGTATATGTGGCTATGAAACAGCTTTGAGTATTGGGCACATGTTCCCTCCAACTCTTTTGGTAGACTCTTCCAGCCTCACTGTAAGCTTACTTAATCAAAGCTTGCAACTGCTTATGGAGTGGCCCGATTGGGGTGAACAGGCTATTTCTGTGGCAATGAAACCGTTTTGAATGTTAAGTATACTGTTCATTGGTGATTATGAACGTCTTTTTGCATTTAATTTATGAGGTTTACGTCTATGGGTGTATTTGACTGCGACAATGTTTCAAAATTAGGAAGGGAAGCAGTGATTATTTGATTATATAGACGCTTCGCCACTGCTATTGAAATTTCCCTGTGAGCAAAACTTGAATGCTTTATATGATCTTTTTTTACTTCCCCCAGACCCTCATGTACAGTTGTGATGATGAACTGGTCTGTGCATACTTTATGAAAGAAAATGAGTGTTGAAGAGTTTTCTTCTGCTACCAGACTTCAACCTGCAATGTGGTGAACAGTATTTCTTGCTGATTTAAAGCATAGCTAGTTTTTTAACCTGGCTAACTGATCCTGGTAGGTAGGCCTTCTCAAATTATATTATAATTTGTCTTGTGCATTTCAGGAAATCTTTATATTAGGATATTGGTAGCATTACACTAATAATTTTATATATATATCTATTTTATTATCTGCCTTTGAGCCTTGCCCCCTTTGAATCTAATGGATTTAAACACTTAAGCTCAACTGCTAGGTATCCCACAGAACATTGAGGCACACATTCTGTGCACTGAATGGTAAAGGTAGTCAGGCTCAAATGTACTCTCGGGTCCATTTGGTCAATCAGCTCTACTTTTGCCTCTATTAGATCTAGTTTTTGGATTTGATTAATAGTCTCAAGTTGGACTGAATGCTTTTGTACTTCATGAGACCTGCTGCTTGTGTACCTTAGACTTTGCACCTTAGTCTGTCTTGAGGAAAATATGGTTCAGAAAAATCTTGCATGTCGGAGGAGTGGGTCGCTATATTGCTTGTAGAAGCAGATTTGTAGGGAATGCAGTTTATATGAGTACTGGATGTTACTAGTAGGCTGAATTCTAAGCTTGTTAGGTACTTGGATTAAAGTTATTGTTTCAGTAGAATTACTTTTATTGCAATTCTGAAACATTGTATGCTCTCACTCTATCACCATTTATTATTATGGTGATGTGACCTTTTTGCTTTCTTTAAAATGAAATCTGTTTGTTTTAATTGAAAATGTCTTGATAGGCTGCACTCTTTTTCGCTCATAAAACTGTATGTTTTGTATAATCAATTACTTTTTGTATAATCAATTACTTTATTATTGAATTCATTTTGCTACCTTTGTTATACAGAACATGGAAATTCCAGGAAAAGTTGGATGGCCCATTGTTGGGGACAAGTCTATCGAATTTTATAGAGATCCTCTGAAGTTTCTAGAGAAGAATATGGCTGCTACAAAGAGCAAAATCTTTGCAGCCCGATTCCTCAACAAGCCGACTTTGTTTGTATGTTCCAGCGAGGGTGTGCAAGAGGTTTTAAATGGTATGAACAAACTTTTAGTATTTCATTAGCTCTGTTTTTTAATAAAAATCATTACAGGCTTTTGAGAAAAAGGACCAAATACAACGGTTCTTACACAAGCCATTAGACGCTATTATCTGCAACTCATACCGCCTCCTTTTCCTCACTATATATAAGTCTTTTCTCTTATTAAGCACAGGTGACACCAGGAGGATGCCAATGGTATGTCACTGTAAATATTTCTCTTAATTTGTTGTTGTTGTTTTTTTTTCTCTGTAAAAAAACAACTTCTGTTTGTGATAATCAGGGTGTCTTTGATCTTGTGTTTTACTCAAATTTTTCTTTTTCTTGAAATGTGGTTTTGTAGCTATGGGTCTGTCAAGTGTTTTCCTGTTATTTTGAGTAAGTTATTCTTTTTCTCCATAGGATATTACTTCCAGTTTCCACTGACCTCTCCTTCTGTCTCTCTTAGCTGCTCAGCTGAGTAGTAACAGAGTAGTAACAACGTGCTCACCGAGCTTCAGATGGAATTAAATTTTGAATAAAAAAAATATTAAACATCTTGAATATTTTTATCTTAAATGAGAGAGTTTTTTTAGTCTTTCACCATTTTTGGTAAATTTTGATGGCTTGCATGAACGGCAATGAAAATTTAATATTATCAAAATGGTCATGTGACTGGTACCCTATTGTGGGTGTAAAGTATGCAGTATTTTGACAATGACAATGGTAATCTTTATTCATCTCCCAAGGAAAAGTTTGTCTTGGTCGTTTACAATGGCGGTGGTGTTGCAAATGCCAAGTGCATGCATATACACAACAAAAAAAGACTTTAAATATTTATATTATATTATTTGCTGAAACGTCTCCACTCTGTAAACATTCTCTCCCTCTCTCTCTCT